CATAAATTTAAGATGCGAGATGCACATCTAATATGAAATAATTTACCATTTAAACATGATTTTAATTGAGATTTTAAAATATTTATTGTAGAATCATTATTACTAGCATTATCAAAACTAATAGAAAATAATTTATTCTCAATTCCATAAGCATGTAAAGTATTTAAAATGCTTGCAGCAATAGTTGGGCCAGTATGTGGCCATTCAAACCTAATAAAACTTAAAGTTCTTTTACTTAAAAGCCAATTTTCATCAATAAAATGGTTGGTAACACAAATATAACTTATGTTAAATTTAGAAGTCCAAACATCAGAAATAATTGCAACTTTATAATTAAAATTTGATAACAAATAAATTAAATTTTGTTTATATGAATAAAAAAATTTTAAAGCATCTGATCTAATAGTATTCCTATAAACTTTTTTATATTGTGGATTTACAGAATTACGTAACCATTTTTCAAGTTGAGTATCTTCAGCTAACAAAAATGGTTGTTCTGCATGTACAATGTATTTTGCTAATTCTTGTCTGATTTTTTCTTGAGAATATTTAAATGTATCGAAACCCCCTTCCCAATTTGTGTCTGTGTTGTTTCTCTCCCTTCTTCTTCTTCTTCTTTCTCATATGTGAGCAAATGTCTGCTCAAATGGCCAATACCACCCTTGCTACAATAGCTTAAGTATTTCYTACATTTTTGGCAAATTACTCTTTTTCCCTTCCCCTCAACATCCTCTACTTTAAATATTTTTCAAACCAGGCTATTCAACTAAGAGACCCTCTTTTTCTTTCCCCTAGTATCAGTACTAGGGGTGAAAGTTCCATCAATATCAATAGCATCCATGTTGGCACTAACACTATCATAATGTGATTGAATATCGTCAACAATGAACATTTTGGGGAATTAGTTTTGGGAGGAGTCGGGCTTTTTTTAAATTCTAAAAAATAAAAATTAATTTAATTAGACTTACCTAGATTGTCGGTTCAGAATCCCAACTTGATTTCAACGATTAAAGCCTTTCAACTCCAAGAATCCAAGCCTCCCAAATTGCTAACTTGAGATACTTGAGCTGGTTGAGCAAGCCTTCTTGTTGAAATTTCAATAAGGTTGAGAATTGGAGAATCAGGCAATCAGTCAATCAAAATCCACTCAAATTGCAGAGAATGTATGAAAGAGAGAGAGAGAGAGAGAGAGAGAAACTTAAGAGAATTGTTGAATTGGTGTGATGATAATGGTGGAGGATAGAACTATTTATAGGAATTGAAAATAATTCAATTGCCTTAAATACCATAAAAACTAGACATTTTTTAGTTGTTGGGAGGGATATTTTGGTTGTTGTAAAGCTATTTATAACTTTACCCAAAATGCCCCCTAAACTAGTTGTTATATAACTGTTGGGGGGCATTTGTGTCATTTTTTCTCCCCCCATAACCAAAATACATAAATACCCCCCTGTACAGCTATTAAGGGGTATTTATGTAAGAAACCCCCCAAAAAGCTAAAACTAGTTGTTGGGGGGGTCTCTAATGGTTAGTTCTTGGATGGACCGAGCATAGCCCGCTATGGGCTCACATGGGCCATGCCGTGCCGACTCGTGGACTTCGAACCCCAGGCCCAGTATGGCATGGACCATCGTGTCGGGCCTGGCACGACCCACGTGCCATCGTGCTGGGCCAAGCCGGGCCATGCCAGGCTGCGAGCGGCTCGGGCTGATTTACACCTCTAGATCGATGGCCACCGAGTTGGTTAATACCATCTATGAATCGTTCATGGAGCTCAACAGTCCATCTTAGATCAAGCTTAACATCAGTAGTAAGAGACAAACAAGCATAATCAAGAAAATTAATGCCTTCAAGAGATCCCTACAAATCTTCATGGCCAATGCTCCCATCAAGCGAATGAATCGCAAGACAATTGGCACTAGTGTGTTTTTCTAGCGAATATAACCCGTTAAAGGTTCTTCAGCTTTTTATTCCTTTTTAGTCAAGTTATAGGTTCAAGACAAAAGGCCAAGATAGACTTTGAATGTCTCTCTAATCCTTCCTTTTTCATTCAAGGTATTTAAATTTGACTTTTGTAGTTTTGGCTCAAACTTGATAAACTTGACTAGGTTAAACCAACTACATTTTGTACAACCATGAAAAACCTCATTAAATGTGGAGTATGTCAAGCGTACCATCTTGTAAGAGTAATGTATGTGATAATGGGTTAAAAACTTGTTAGGATGAGGTGGTGTCTCTTGAACTTTTGGAGATGTCTCCTCAATCCTGTGCTTCAAGGGATAGGTTAAAAACTTCTTGATCAAAGTTTAAAATATCGATGCACCTGATACATCGATATGAGTGTATCAGGCGAATCAATACTGCATTTTTATACTTTTATTTATTTATTTATTTATTTTTTGCAATCAATTCAGGGGGACCGGTTTAGGTCTCTTCCACCCCCTGAACTGGTCAGACCCCCAATACACCCACTATAGGGGTGTATTGGAGGGGTCCCAGAATGATATGTATCGGCCAATTCAGGCTGATACGTATCGATACTTTGAACCTTGCTCTTAATTACTAGGGGGCCATGCTAGGGAGATTCCTAGGGGATGTCTCCTACCCCATAAAGCCAATTTTATCTTTTTGCATTATGCTAAGTTCATTCAAGTCTTTGAGCCAAACCAATTCAATCTAAAGCTTGATGTGAGAAAGAGAGACTTCCAAAACCAAGTGTCACATGTCAAGTTCACATATAACCTAGATAGACACGTTGAAGCACAATAAGTGAACCACTTGGAGACTTTCTTCTTGATGGAATATTCCAACTTGATACTTGATGAAGCTTGCTTCCTCTGTCTTGCTTCTTTCATTTATGCATTGCATCTTCATCCGTGGGATAATGTCTAGTCGAGTAATAGTGAGGTAAACCAAGCGACCCATGAGGTGCCAATAATGAGTTGGATAAGATAGTGCGGGGGTTCACTACAAAAGATATTATCTCTCGCGGTAGTTTTTGAGGTGATAGAACCATCGAGAGATGTTCTCAATACATAGCGGGGATGTGCTATGAGTCGTTGTGGGGGGCTGATTTGATCTCCCACTAACATCCTAACCAGATAACGATTATACAGCCTTCCCATATTATGCCAAAGGGACTTGACAATTCTCAAGAGTATGAATTATTTAGCAGAACCATGAACTTTGGATCTACTGACCACAACACATTGCTAGCCGCATGTTGAGAATATTGATGACTACAACACCACCGATATTCCATGTGTGCTTGGATGAACATGRCCAGCAATGTGTTATGATCAGCAGATCCAGACTCCCATCAAGGCATGAACTTACTGAAAAAATGGGGGCATAAAGCAATTCAATGTAAGCATCCCCATCTCTGATATCCGAAATATCCTCGAACCAGAATCATGAAGTTCTACATGATTATTTGCAATTGAGCGTTTCAGGATTACATGACACCAGTCTCTCCTGAAACCCTGAAAATTTTTCATTTTTCATCCCCCAACAAGTTAATACTGTTTGGAATTGGATAGACTTGCCGAAAGTTTCAATCGCCATTTTGATAATAAACTTCTGTCTGATCTGATGTTTTTAGAAGTCGAAAAGCAGATGCGCTTTTACTCTGCTATGAAATGGATTTGGCATAATGTGTTTTCAACTTTTCACAGAATGCTTTCTGCAGTAGAAAGCAAGAAAACGTTTGGGCACAGTAAAACTTTCATGCTTTGACAACAGAACATACACATTTCAAGCATTCTTTCTATAAGGCCATGTGGCTGGATGTTAATTCCAGTTGGCCATATCGTAAATACCATGTTATGGTATGCTGTTTACTTATTAGTTGATTAAATTATTTCATTCATTATTTTATTGATTTTGTTAATTACTTAAACTGGTTTATTATTTTTATTAATTATTTAACTAATTGTCTTATTTAAGTAATCATTTTAATAGTAAGTTACTTAAATATTTAAGCATTTTTTATAATTAGTTATTTATTATATACAGTGTTTTAATATATTCTTAATTATTTAACTATTTTCCCTATTTGATTTAATTAATTCATTAATTATTTAACTATTGTGTTATTTATTTTATTTTTTCACTTATTAGTTATTTTTCATTACTTATTTACTCAATTGGTTGGTTTTTTGATATTGGCTAAATAATTAATAAAATATTTTATTATTTTTATATTTATTTATTTATTATATGGCATGTGTTAATGTCTTTTCTTAATTAAGCATTTTCTTTGTTTTAACTAATCAACAATCAATTTATTATTATTTCATGTGATCCTCTAGTGATCACTTGAATGTTGAAACCCAAAGTAAAACACCAATCACAAGCACCAAGGAAATCTGGCTTTGTGCTTTTGCTTTTTAATCTCTGAAAAGCAAAGGTACACACCCAAGGTACTTATTATACAACTTTTATTTGTATAACATAAAAAAAGTACTTTATAAAAGTCTACTAAAATTTAAGAGAAAACATTGTTCAAGGAAAGTTAAAAAAGATAATGACACAAATTACATTCCACTTTCTACTACTCTAAAATACAAGGAAGCCTTCGATTGATCCCTATAAAGATCTGAAACCTTTTGTCCAGTTGAAATGAGTTTGACAGTTTCTCTCATGTCAACTGCAAGTAACTTAGAAGCATATGACTGCCAAGACCAAACCAGTATAGGAAAGTCCAAGCCCAAACCCAAGTGAAGTTTCAGATACTCCGCACACAAGTCAGACGAGCAGGCACAACTGTGCACTATGTATGTACAAATGTGTCAATTTAACAAATAAGTTATAAGCTTTATTGTTAAGTTACAGGTCAAAAGTATAGTTGACAATTATAATCAGGTCTTACCAGGTCAGACCCAATAATCCCACAAAGCTGGTTCTGCACATTTATTCGATCAGGAACGGGTCTGCCCTGACCCAGACAAGACCCGACTCATTGAGAGCACTAGTTTTATCACTTTCAGCAGAAACACCAATAAAAAAATCCACAAACAATTTAGCAGGCAAAACAGATTTCAGAGCCAAAATCTGAATATTCAGTAACAATTCAAATTGTGGGGCTCTAAGCACACACAAATTTCAGATCATAGAAGTCCTCTAGAACCCAAACAAGAGCTCATAAATAGTCAGTTGTGGATTTGGTTTTCAAATGGAGTAGGGTTCAGAAATTCAAACCATAGTTTCAGAAATTCCCACATTCCTCAGAAGACACGTGCAAGCTCGATCTGACAAAAAAAAAGTGACCTGTGACCTCCCTTCTTTTTGTTCATTCAAAGCAGAGGTGAATCTACTAGACTGTGATCTGGAAACTATGATTTGGACAAAGTATCAGACAAGCACTATAAACAACTCAATATCTATCCTCTACTATTTACAGCATCAATTCTCGAGAAGTTGAAGTATTGCAAACCTCGTAGATTCTACAGGCAACCTTGTCCAAAGCTCAAACAAGTCCTTTTTCTTGAGCTTTCTCAAGATCCACCCTCTGCCAAAGCCCATCACCCAAACCAAATGCAAGTATAAAATGCCGCAATCAGCAACAGTAACAAAGAACTGATCTTATATGTTCTATACGAAAAAAGGGCAGCAATATTACATGATATATACGTGTAAGGAAAATTTCACGCAGAGAAACTTTTAAGTGCTCTCTTGGAATGTCTGAGAGCGAGACAAAGCTGCAGGGTTTGCTTGTAAGACTTGGGTAGCATCTGAGTCATGAATATTGCTTTCTGTCTTGGGTTGGAATGCTTTGAACATACCACCTTTTGCTATGGATTCATTTTGATCAGTTTTAATACCAAGAGTAGCCCAAATAGAACTCTTTGCAGCCTCATCTGGGTCATCAATTCTCAGTGTTTTGGGAACCCAGAGACTCTTTTCTGATTTCTCTTCCACTTGTGGATTTGCATCTCTACAATGCTTCCCTAAGGTTGGAGACCCATTGCCTGAACATCCACTATTGCTAGTGGAAGATGATGGTGAAAGGCTACCATTAGATCCAAGCCATGGCACATTCCATGGCCTTGCAGCCCAGCTGGGTACGCAACCCCAGTAGGAGGCAGGTACAAATGGGAAGGGGATGCGAGGTGTGCAAAAGGCAGGAGCTGCCACCATAGGTGGGGAGCCCCATTGAACTGGATTGGGAATACTGCTATCCGGTCCATAAAACACCTCAGAAGAGCACCGATTCACCGCCATTACAGCAATGTTATTCCAACTTGGGTTCCAAGGACAAGTCCAAGGAGGAACCGGGTAATAAGGCAGAGGATGTGGAGAAGTAAACCCATTAACAGATCCAAGAATATTGGTTTGCTCCATCTTGGGAACATTTTCAGGCAATTCATTTTCCTGGCAAGAAGCTGCCATGGAAGAGACACTCGGTGGCTCCACTCCATTTTCCTCACAAGCTGCAGAACCAATATCAGCTTTTCTCTTCTGGTCTACAAGATTAAGCACTGTTGCCATAGATTCACAGACAGGAGCATCAAGGCCAAACTTCAAAACAGTCCCGTTTCCTTTCAGAGGCTTTGAAGAGGTGGAAAGGCCCCCACAGGCAAGAACTTGGTGAGTTGGGGAATCAGGATTGTCAACCCGAGTGGTTGGTATTCCATCAGCAGACATCATTGCTTGCCGGTACTGTGAAGCTGAGTGCTTATTCTTTCTCCGTCCAGCACCTACAGGAACATTTCTCATTGTTCCCCCAGCCGTCCAATATCTCTGACAGTTTTTACAGAAGTGCCTAGGTTGGTTGACATTGTAATTATTGTAGTAGCAGAACTTTGTGTCTAAGCTGTTGCAGCGAGGACATGGAAGGACCTTATCTGGCTTCTTGAGAACCTTGTCTTGGCTAGGGACATCACTCTCAGCATGGTCTTCTTCAGGCTTTGGAACTGTTGTTGCTTTGTTGCCCTCACTGGAAGTTTGGTGGTCATCTTCCTTACTGTTGTTCAGATTGTAAGACTTATCAGGTTTGCATGATTCTCTTGGAGAAAGTTCTTCATCTTCCACTTTTGTCGTCTCTTTRCACTCTCCCTGAAATTTAAAAGCAAAATATTTTGATTAAAACTACATTGGTCAATAAAATATGCACTAGACCATCATTGATCAAGAATCTATCAAATTGTCAAGCTACATGCAAGTAGGATGTTTTAACATAGAACTTGCTTATGTTGTTTAACCAATTATACACAATTTCATAACTAGCACCACACTAAAATAAATATGTAGCTAAAAACAAGTAGAAAGAGAATGATGACTAACCATAAGCACAAGGTGAACAAAAAAATGACTAATTCGCAAATTAAATCAAGGCTGGAAAGTTTGTTCAATCAGCGCATGCTTTCTAACTCCATACAACACAACAACCTTCAACCTCACAGAATTTGGCTTCTGAATCAAGTACCAATAAAAACACCAAATTAATTTAGGGTTTTCAGTAAACGAAATCCTAGTTCAGGATCCGACCCAAAAGCTAAACAAAATAAAAATAAGAGGCCCTACAATCATCATCATCCATGCTTTATCCCAATTACATGGGGTCGGCTAAGAGGCCCTATGTATTATCAAATAAAAATAACAAACCAATTTGGGTTAAATCAGTAAATGAAATCAACACCTAATTCCAGTAAACAAAATGGTCTAAAATTATCAAATAAAAATAGAAAAGGGCCAATAACCATCAAAATAAACTATTAAATGTAATGGTTACACAGAATTCGTCCAATACTCAAGGTCAGACATTCCTCGCTCAAAAATACCAATAAAAAACATTAAGTTTCCAGTAAAAATGAAAAAAAAAAACTGAGGAAAAATAGATGCATAAAACCTAAAAAAATTAATATACATTGGCGCCATGAAACAGAAAAAAAAAATTAGATAAATACTAGACTATTAGATAGAAGAAAGTGAAAAAAAAAATGCACAAATGTAAAGTCCTTGCCCAGATTTTCAAGAACGCTACAAAAATTAAGAATAAGAAAACCGACATGGACTAGGTTAAGAGCAACTGATTCATTAATTTCATTTGGGATTTTTAATTTCTATATATCAGTAAAGTTTTCAAAGTCAACAAACCAAGAGCGCTCATTTCACCCAATAAAAGACAAGCACTAATCATACAAAAACGTTAAATTTACCAGGTCTTCTTCAATTAATAAAAATCCAAGCAAACTATTAAAAACCCTCCAAGCTCAGCAGAAAACTAAGACAACAATCCAAATTCACAAAATTAAGAAAAATGAACTAAATTTCAGTAATTCTAATAGATAGGAAAACCGGAAGAAAACCTATATCAAGCACCAGTAACCAAAAGCCAAAGAACAAAAGATGAACCCATTTGAACAAAAGCCTAAAATTTATAGGAGAAAAAACCCAATAACGAACCGCTTCTTCTTCAGCCTCTGGTGCAACCAGACATTCGGGATCGGACTTGTCACAAGATTCCGCCGGAATCTGACTCTCCATCAACGGAATCCTCTTCCCGAAGAGCTTGATAGCCGGATCCTTGATCTCAGACATAGCTCGACCGCTCAATTTCTGCTCGCGATTTCTTCAGCAAAATGGTGCGAGAGATCCAAGCGCATATCCTCCTCTCCGGAAATAAAACAAAAAATGCACAGGTGAAGCAAGGAAGAAAAGTAATGGAGACTTTAAGAAAACCCTCTTAGAAATAAAAATAAAAATTTAAGCAAAAGCCATCAAAAAGCAGTAAAGCACGAAGAACGTGACGGGATTTTATATACTTGAAATTTTTGTAATTTGTTACCGGAAAACGTCGGTTACACTTTTCTCCAGCTGGCATCCGAGTCAGCAAGGAGTGCGATTCTCAGCCGTGAGTTCTCGTGGCTACGGATCCAACTGGTTGACGTAAGCAATCAGAAGATGGCAAAAAGGCTCAAAGCTGCTGCTACTACCCACCGGAAAAGAGCAAAGAAAAGGGATCCTGGAGTTTTTGCTTTTTGGCCCTTTGAACTTGAAGTAATCCTTTATGCCTTTTTTATGGCCTTGTTTGCCCTCTGCCCTACACCTACCGGAAAAGGACATTAATGCCCTTCCTTTTTAACGGGCAACGCTGAAGTATGGTATGATTTATGCCAACCTTTCGTCTATAATTACACTTTTAGGAGCATTGACTTAATGTGTATGTGCGATACAGAAGAACTTTCATCAATCAAATGAATTTTGTGAAATTTGATGAATACCACAAACTTTTCTCACATCCCTATCCACATAACATTATCACCTTGTATTGTGAATATTTTCTCATGAATGATAAAAGAAGTTATTTCTAATATGCAGCTGTAATGTAAGAACAACTTAATCTGAACCCTAAGTTTTTCAAGTTTTTCTTTTATCAATATATCATGCCAAAATTATCTGATTATATTAGTATATTTCATGATGAAAAGGAGATTCTAAATATGAGGCATTTGAGAATTTTGGGCTTTAATTAGAACATATTAATGCATGACTTGATGGGTTTCTTAATCATAATTTGATTAGGTTGAAATTCTTGATATGCAAATTTTGCATACTGAGAGTATTGATATTTGTGTGTGTTAAATTGTGTGCATGTTAAATCAAAATTTTAACCAATCGTGTTAAAGATGTCATATGGTCTACTTGCAAGGTGTAATTTCATTGGTTCACCTTTCACAAAATGTCTTATTATTAAGAGTCAAGACCTAGAAGAACCTTAAAGATGTCAAGACTTGGAACATTATTTTATTCTTGAATCACATTTTTTGTTTCGCAATGCAATTCAGGCACCATAGATTTTGTGTTGAAAAGAAAGTTAGGCTCAGTTTGGAAGGAGTACAAATACAAATATGTAACATGCAAATACATACAAAATAATACAAAATACAAGGTTTTGCACTCTACATATTTGTATTTATACTCCTCCCAAAGTGAGCCTTAATAACCTCATATTTCCGTTTTTAAATTTTGAAAATACAATATTTTGAAAGGATTGAAAAGTGAACAAAAATGAAAAGAATTAGCTGACATGGACCAACATATGACAATATGGCCAATTGGCATCTCTCCCATCGAAGAGATGTGGGACAAGCATGTGGAAAAGAAGGCATTTTGTGTCTAAGCGATAATTTTCCTTTCTAAAAATATCCATTTTTATTTCTTTTCAAATAATAAAATGGTTATGTTCTTTTCTTCTTCTTCCTTTTCACTTTTTAACTTTACAAAGTTTCTTTTCATCAAGTTTTTAAGCAACTTTAATCAATGAGAAAAAAATAATAAACAACTAACCAGATTTATTTATTTCCAAAGAGAAGTAGAAGAGAAGAAGGAAAGAAAAATAGGGTTGAAGAGTAGAATATTGAACTAATTGGTCTCAACTACTACCATCTTTTGTTGTTGTTGTTAAAGAATGAAATTACAAATGTATTCCTACTCAAAAAAACCAAAAGAGATAAAGGACAAAGAAAGAAAAGGAGAAAAGACTAAAGTAACCTTACTGACCTAATAAAATATAGCTTTAGCACTCCCCTTCAAGTTGGGTCATATACATCAAACTAGTGGGGACCCATGCGATGCATGGGATTTATCAAGTGAAATAACCAAAATTTATAACTAATGAAAGAATGTGGTGTTGTTTAAAATAATTAAATCTTTATTTTAATAATTTGTTACAAAAGTGTTTTACTAATTTAGTAACTTAGCAATTTAGTAATTTGAATTAATTATATTAATATTTTTTAACAAAAAATAAATTATTGCTAATTAGTTAATAAAATAATTATTTTTCCATATTATTTGTTAGTGTTCTATTTTATTTATTTTACTTTATTAATGATTAAATGTTTCAATTGTTTGTAAATGTCACTTAAATATCGGTAAATATATAAAATTAGGCTATAGCCATAATTAAATTAATCTATAGTTAACTTTTTTAGTCATAATTAAATTAATCTAAGCCCAAACTTATGGTTTAAGAATTTGGATTAGGCTTGGATTGATCCTTATCCAGACCAAACCCACCTAAGTTGCATGCATCGTAACATTCATAATTGAACTGAACCAAACCAAGTGCAACCCATGCATGCATTATTTTTGGGGTTTTTTAACTATTTTTAGATAATATTGAAACCAAAGTAGCTATGAAGGATGGGCTACCCCCATTTGTGTAGCCCAATGAACCAAAAAATTAAAAAACTCAAGCTAAATCTTGATAGTGCATTAGTAGTTTTTACAGTTGCCTGGCCTAGCCCARCCCACACCTTAAGTGTAATAATATTTGTCTGGGCTTATAGGCTTGCCCTTTTAATTATAAAACTATGATTTTTTTATAAATTAAAAAATATTTTTATATTTCTATATATATATATTAATATAAAATTTGTCATCTAAATATAATATAATAATATTTACCATATGTGCATATAATTTTCACGTTGAGCTTATTATAGGTTGTTTAGCTTGGGCCCTATCCACTAGGGCCATCATTGGACTTCGAAAGTTCGATACTCAATTAGACTTCAAATCCAATCGTCTTAGATTTGGATGTTAGAACTTGCATCTAGTTAATAATTCGATTGGATGTGGATTTAACCCTATCCAATTTGATTAAAATCCACATCTAATAAAAAATTATTATTCTGTATGTATAGTATAATTATTGTATACACATAGGTATTAATATATGCATTTATACTTTAAAATTCAAAATCTAACATAATAATAATCAGATGTGGATGCAAATCTAGAAATTTCATAATCGGATGTTAATGTGGATGTAGTTGGATTTGATTTGAATATGATCCATTTACAACCCTACTACCCACATTATGTGTGGGCTTGGTGCATCTTTGAGCTAGACCTAACTTAAAAAAAAAGTTGCTTGAGCATGAAAATTTATAGATCTAATCTGGTTAGGCTAAGTTATAAACGATTTGTTACTTTTTATTATTAGTTTTAATTATCCTATCAATACTAATTTTTATTAATTTTACAACCCTACTACCTACATTATTTGCTTAAGCCCAAGGTTGGGCTAAGTTATAAATGGTTATCCCTAACTAGGAATCTTATGACAATTAATTTTATATGGAATGCAAATGGTTTATTTTTATTATTTTTCATAATCATTTACTTTTTATTATTATTTTTAAATTATCCTAACTTTTTATTATCAATTTTAATTATCTTATTAATATTAATTATATTCAAATATAATTAAATTGTATTTTAGTTTTTTAATTTGTGAACTATAATCTTTATTAATTTCTTAACTTTTAATAGTTGCTAGATGAAAACTTGTTAAATTTTAATGTTTTATTAACTCTAATAATTTTTATTAATTATAGTTATTAAGTTTCAAATTATAAATAGATTATTATTATTATTATTATTATTATTATTATTATTATTATTATTATTATTATTATTATTATTATTATTATTATATAGATAAATCGGAACCATTTTCGAAAATGGGTCAATATAGACCCGTTTAACTTGTCTTCTTTGTCAAAGTGATAAAATGGGTTCTACATTTTAAATTTTCATCAAAATTTATAAGTCTCTTGTTTAGTATAGGCATTATGCGTAGTAAAGGTCTCAACTCATTAATACAAAGTTATCTAATAAAATAAAAAGAATAAACAACACAAAATACAACATTAGAACATGGGTTGTATTTGCAATATATCAAACCCATGTTTAAATCATAATATTATTAAAACTATCATAATATTTTTTGTATTTAAATTTATTATTTTTGTTAGTGTTTATTAAGTTTTAAGTGGAATTGAAATGTTTTTAAGTTTTACTAAGTTTTGTTAATATTTATTAGTTTTAAGTGGAAGTTTATTGGATTTTTAAATTAATAATTTTTTAAAATAATATTTTTATTTTTGTTGTTTTATGTTTGATTGTTTAAACTCAACATACTTGTATTATTTTATTTATTAATATTTTACTTTATTATGTTATATTACTATTCTCACACACTCTCTCTTTCTCTTAAATGTCTCTTTTAAATGTAATAATAACATGCATTAAAATAAGAGGCCTTGGAAAAACGCAAAGGCCACTCACTCGCTCACTCTCTCTATCTTTATAATAGTGTACAAGTACAAGTTTATTAATCTAATCAAAATAGACAATGACTACTTTTTTATATTTTAAAACAAAAGAAAATAGGAAAATTGCAAAAAATTGAGAAAATAGATAAATAGCTTCTCTCAATGGAGAGACATGCTGACATGGACTGTCTATATATATATATATATATATAGAGAGAGAGAGAGAGAGAGAGAGAGAGAGAACTCCAACTTACCATAGATGTGTTTCATTTGAGCACAACTTAAGCTTTGGTAAAGAGGTCAACTAGTTGGTCTTTTGATTTCACATAAGGTGTAACAATTTTCCACTTGCAACTTTCTCCCTCATAAAAATGGCAAGCTACTTCTATATGCTTGGTCCTTTCATGAAGAACTGGATTGAAAAAGATATGAATTGCTACTTAATTATAAAAAAACAACTTAATAGGAATTGAAATTTTGACACCAATTTCTTATAATAACAATTTTAACCACAATAATCTATAAGTAGTATATGCCATGGCTCCGTACTCAACATTAGCACTACTCATAGTGATTACACTTTGCTTCTTTTTTTTTCCCAAGTGACCAAATTTATTATGAGAAAAGTGAGCAACCATTTGTAGACTTCTTATTAGTAATTTGTGTTTC